CGGCCGCCACCCGGGCAAAATTCAAAATTTCCTACCAACGAAAAAGTATTAGGTGTGTCCCGCGCGCTCAGATGGCCTTATGCAGTTGCGAGCGCCGTAAAACCCTATACTAAACAAACAACAAACAAACAGAAAGTATCCAGCTGGGAATAGTAATGAGTCAAAGAAAGATCCAGCTGGGAATAGTAATGAGTCAAAGAAAGATCCAGCTGGGAATAGTAATGAGTCAATAAGAAAGTATCTAGCTAGGAATAGTATAGTAATGAGTCAATAAGAAAAACAAGTAAAGGTTTGAAAGTTAGCCAACGCTGAAGTTATTTATACATTAAGGGTATACCATTTCCCTGGAGCTGCAAAAGTTCGGTCTAGGAAGATTTTTTTTTTATGTTACCAGAGCCAGGCTACGTTTTCAACCCTCCAGAAATCCTCAGGACCATTCTTTCTTTATTATAACAATCCCCGTGAAACTTTGGGGTATATAATGATAAGTAACATTTGTATAGCGCATATCCCCGCTCAACAGCAGGCTCTGTGCGCTTTACACTATATTATTATTACCCCAGCAGACCATAGACCACTCCGAAACATTCTCCGCTTCCGGGGAAGCATACAGTGCAAGCTGCGGATTTCACGCGGTCAAACACTACCAAACTGACAAGATCGTTCACTGTCTATAGCCGGGTACCCATTTCCACCTGGGTGAAGTGAGGAAAATTTGTGCAAAGTGCCTTTCCCAAGGACACAACGTCGGGCCACTGACGGGATTCGAACCCACGACCTTACGGTTGCGAGTCCGAGAGCCTAACCACTTAGACTAGGTTATTTAGTTGGTGTATCTCTTGCTCGTGAGGGAATCCGTGTCTGGAAGCTTTACACAAGAACGTTTTCATAAAACGTATTGTAGTTGCGTCTGTATACAGGGACGACATGTTTCCTAGCCAGCCAGCCTCGAGAGTCTGTAATATCAAGTACTCAGGGTATAAAGGACGAGGTAGACCACGTAAAAGATGAACTGATGAAGTCAAAGAAACCCTGAAGAATTATATGATCCCAACTGAAAGAGATAACAGAGTTCGCCTACCATAGCAAACTGTATCACCTCTCGACGCATAACAGCAAAATAGGATGAAGAATTAAAAGTAAGTACACACACACACACACACACACACACACACACACACACACACACACACACACACACACACACACACACACACATATGTATATATATATATATATATATATATATATATATATATATATATATATATGATATATTAACATATTATGTTATGTATATACACACAGGCAAACATACATGATACACACATGAGTACATGAATAACACAGTATGATTTTGCAAACCAATCGCAAAACCGCCACCCGTTTCCATCCCTTACCAATCCTATCCAGTTATACACAACCGATTTCTTCCGACAAGTGTGGGCGTCATTTAAGCTGATCTCAATCCCAGAAGCAGCCCAAGCGAAATATTTTTCTGTTCCCTCTCAAACACGGTGTGTGTTATCACAACACACAAACACAACACAACAATAGCTGAGTAGCTCACCAGCCAAGCGGATAACAGACTTTCCACCTCATGTGACAAGCGGGTATGCCAATATTGTGAGGCAGCGCGGGGAAATCAGGCGCTCGTCATAATAATGACATCAAAGAAAACGGCACTTACCGGTTCGTTCGGCAATTTTTATGGTTGTGTGGGTTTTTTTTCTTTCTGCTTTTTAAGTTGTAATTTATACATTTTATTTTACTTATTTATTTATTTATTTATTTATTTTTATTTATTTTTTTTTTGGGGGGGTTTAACACCTTTTGTGTCCATTTAAAAACAAATTTCTTTGGTGGATTTTACTGAAAAACATTGTTTAAAGCTCACAAAAAGTAATTTTGCAGTTTTCAAGAACTCTCAAGCTATGAAAGTCACCTAACTTTAGAGGCCACTATCTCGTTAATGTAAACTCCGAAATCAGACGACCCGAACCTCCTATTGTCGCAAATACCTCGACTGTTATTCAAGATAAATAAGTTGTTGGGGTTTTTTTTCACGCATAGCAAGACAAATGAACAAGCCAGAAGACAATACCAATAACTCTACATTGGCCTACCTCAAAATGGACGAGCACCTGATTTCACCACGTCGGGGCACAAATTATGCCACTTTGTTCCGTTCTGTTTGCGGGTTTTGTACACAACCCATTTTGGCTGGGAACTTTGGTGACAATAGCTTTGTGTGGTGTTCGCTGTCAGTTCCAAAATTAAAACGGTTTTTATCGCTCTCTCTCTCTCTCTCTCTCTCTCTCTCTCTCTCTCTCTCTCTTTATCTCTCTCTCTCTCTCTCTCTCTTTCTCTCTC